GAGGCAACAGTGCTACCAACTGCACCACCTTGCAGCCCATGGAAACATTTCAGAAAAACATCGCCAGTTTCTTTTGTTAATGTTTAACAAATTCTGCTTATTTAAAAGCTGTAATTATTATGTAAATTGTATGTCTGCATTTTACAACAAACTTAAAGGCTCCCTTTGGTAAAGATCCAGTTTTTTATCATGTTAACATGTCATTATGCCGTTTTTTTACAAGTTAAAAGACGTATTACGAGCAAAATAAGTAGTAAACACTATCGCTGAGCATTTCCACCTCGTAAGTGTCTTAACAACACAGATTCAGACTTTAAGGGTAACAAACTTAAGAAACCAATCCTGTCAACTTGCACGATGAATCAACATTTTAATGAATTTCAGCAATTTCTTTTGTTTTTGGAATGAGCCAAATGTTCTTAGCTTAGTTGGTAAAAATAAGATTTTAAAAAAAAAAAAAACCATCGCCGGTCTTTTTTGTTCAGACTTTGGTGGAGTGGAGATGCAGGAGGAGCTCATGTTCCTAAGAAAACTCTAATCCTCTTTAGTCTCACCCAAGGCTGAGCTGGAGCCAATCTAGCTGTATTACCCCATCTGCCCCTGCCCCCTATGGACTTATGGCGCTGATATCCCATTCGATACGCTGTATACACAGCTGTCTGAGTGCCAGAGGGGAGTGGTTGTCATTGCGCTCACCTTTCCCAGTTATTACATGCTCAGTGGTAGAATTCTCATTCCTCAATGACACTTTCTCTTTCTGTCTCCCTCTAAGTTCTCCATTGGTGACCGTATCCTCATATCTCCCCTCTTCTCCTTCCCTCTGCCACTCCATTCAAAAAGGCTTCTCCCTGATAATACTTCAATGTCAAATCCAGTCAGAAGGCTGTAATTCTCAGCGGGCTGTGTCTTTGGCAGGCAGCGGTGCTGGAGGAGCTCCCTGCATGTGTGAGATAATGCTGCATCCGACTGCTGGGAACTTCAGTGTCGCACCAACGGGGACGACGGCGTCCCCGGTGAATAACGCGAGATGGAAAAAGTGGAACGTTAAAGCAACATACATGTGCGGGATTGTCTGCTGTGTACATGTGCGCACCGGAGGAGTTTGTGCGACAAGTGTGGACACATTTGTCTCACGTAAGTGCCTGCGTCATTACACACAAAGACGCCTTTGGGGGGGGGAGGAAGAAAGGAAGAAAAAAAAAAAAAACAGAGAGTTTGGCCACAAAGGGACAATGCAAGCTTTTGACTGGTAGCCATGGCAACAGAGGGAAGGCAGATAAAGGGCTGCCAAGGAAAAGCCACGTTTAGATTACAGCGTAAAACATTTCCATTTAATCTTAAACGGCTGTCGTTCGCAGTCTCTGCCGCGATAACGGAGAGGTGATGCAGAGGAATAAGAAATGATTGTGGGATGAGTCATTACAAGTTGGCAAGGAAATAGTAACAGGTATGTGTTGGCGCGAGGCGGCGGAGAGGAGAGGCGACAACACGCTTAGCCGAGTGCTAAAGGGCAAGTCGATACGTTGCTGTATGAGGGGGAGAAAGAGAGACAGAGAGAAGAAAAAAGTGGTGTTTTGAAATGAATGAATGACGACGCAGACGGGTGACAAATTAAAGGAAAAACCTGAACCCTTCGCTCCGACAGTGATGGGATCTGGTGGGTATGTTATGCTGTGTGGGGGGGCATTGTGTTGGCATGGCATTTGTCTCCTGAGAGCCGAGGGTCACTGCAAATCAATACAAAGTTGTTCACCTTTAGCCTATGAGGAAGCATTTCTACAACGTTCCCAACCATAGGATACAAGGGGTCACTGGATAGTTTAAATAAAAAGGATGTGAATCATATGCTATGGCTATGGAGATTCTGGACCAGCGTGTTCATCCAGACAACAAATGATGGAATGCCTCTTGCAAGAATGTGTTAAAGGAGTATTAAAGCTGTTCTTGTGTTGGTCCAACACCTTATTAAGACACACTATACTGGGTTGTACTTTAATTTGTCAACCTGTCTGTATATGTGTGTGAGTGAGTGTACTAGAAGTTGCATTATTTGTACGTCCACCCATCAGCCACAACATTAAAATCACCTGAGTAATATTGTGTAGGTTGCTCTCCTGCAGCCAAAATTAGGTCTAACCACTGGGGACGTCCTGTGGTATCTGAAACCAAGAGTGGATCCTTTGGGACTTGTGCTTCATTGGATGTTATCGGGGAAGTCTGGTGGTTGGATCAACACCTTAGGTTCTTTTACATTTTTCTTTAGTTGTTTCTAAGCAGTTTTTGCAGTCTTGCTTCGGTGGTCAAAACCCAAGATTTCCCAGCAGAACTGTGAGCTGTATATGAAAATGGGCAAAACCTCCATTAAGGTTTTTCCTAAAGAGCAGTTTTGAAGCTCAGTATGGTGGCTCTGGCCGTCACCAACTTGGCAGTGCCTGACTCCAGCTAACTCTTGGTTTATCCAAAAGTGAACGAGGTGGAGGTGAGGCGGATCACATGGACTGTCCTTTGACAGCAGCAGCCACGCCGCAAATTATACGTAACTTTAAGCCTTGATACATTTTAAATGGGGTACTTGTATTCAGATTCACCCCCTGTGGAGTTGTCATGAGCGAGGACATTAGCTATAAAGACCAAAACTGCTTTTTCCGCCAGGCTGCAAACATGTTTACTTCTGCTGTGAAGTTGGACATTTCAACACGGGGGTCTATGGGGGTTGACTCACTTTTGGAGGCAGCCTCAAGTGGACAGTCGAGGAACTGCAAGTGTTTCATATCACTGCTGCTTGAGTAGAACATTGGACTGTAACAGGACAAACACTTCTACACACTTCACCTGTCACTGGTTCTAATGTTGCGGCTGATGAGTGTAAGAGTTAATATGCAGCAGTGTTCAAGTACCCTTCTTTAGTGCACTGGTCATATCCTCTGAGTCCCTCACTGCCGGCCATGTCGGACATAGAAACAGACAGTGTGAATGTGAGCATAAAAACGTGTGGTGTGCGTCTGTACTCACAGGATATTTCTCCAGAGGTTCTGTCAGTAATGCGTCTCCAAATATTGACCGGCAGTACTCTGCCATCTTAGCCTGCTGCTTCGGCCTGAGGGTCGCAACACAAAGACACACAATCAGGATTTCTCTACTAAATATCAATATACTTTGTATGTGTGTTACCCGTCATAATCCCTTTAGAGCCGTTAAAGACAGAACAACTAATCAGATCCTTCTCCCCAGCTCTCTAGATGTTTATAAAAACAAACTGGCTGATTAGTGGTATTGACTGGCTCGCTGATGGGAAAAAAGCTCATCAGTCAGGTCAACAACGATCATCCTCCTCTGAGTTTAAAATGATGCGCCGACTTACGAGTCCACGTGGTTCTCAAAAGACAGGATGACGGGGAAAGGTGACGTCTTGAAGGCACACTCTGCGATAGCCTCGATCACCTCCTAAATAAACAAAGAAAGACAGAAAACATTCAATAATACAGGTAAAAATTACATAGAATAGAATAATAAAATACTGTTATTGCTATCAAGAATAACGTAAAAAAACATTAAAATATTTGTTGGTTTGTGCAGTTGAGTCTCAAAATACCCTTTTGAATACCAGACGGATTCCATATCTATCTTCAGTGTTATGACTCCCTATCATTCCTAAAATACCTGAGAGCCTCGGTCAAAGAAACCGGCCAATCTGTTAAAATGAGGAACTGCAAGAGAAGGAAATCGCACAAGAACTGATGCTTTGGGGCCAAGTAGAAACCAAATTTCTGAAAATTTGATGATAGTTGGTTTCTAAGGTAGCAAAGTTACCGTGAGAGCTGCAGCTGTCATGGGTAATCAAGGGTGGGTTTTTTTTTTTGGTGGGATTTAGTAAATGCAGGTGGAGCAACAGGTCTGCTGCAACTTGTGAAGGAAAAAAAAAACACCTAAAAAGTTGTGTTAGACAGTTTGACATCTTTCTAATATCAGCAACACTGGAAGGAACGAAGCAAAACAAGACAGGAAGTAATACAATGACTAACAAGGACTATTGGCTATTGTGGGGTTGCTCAAGTATCACATTTTTGTGCATGTAAACAGCATATTTACATTTATCTATTTATAACATACATATCCAAATGTGAATCTATCATGCCCACATCTGTACATGTAAATGTGTACATAGTCTTTATCATATCTGTACTTTTAGCCATATTGTACTTTTATAATTCTTGTCTTGCTTCCATCGAGTTAACATGTAAAATTCCCCATTGAGGAATCAATGAAGTTCATCTTATCCTGATTTTAGAAACCTAAATAAGCCCAAATCCCGGTTTAGAAAATCCCAGCTACCAAAGAAACCTGGATACTGTTGCCTGTATACTTGTCATACCACTGTAGATGTCACCAGAATCGATACTTTGGTTCCACGTTGACACCAAAAGTCTAAAACTTAGTTACTGTTCTACAGTAACTAAGATATAGAAAGTACAGCAGCTATTCCACAGAATAACGACAGCAAAAATATCTAGTGTTCGACGACCACAAACACACTAAAGACGTTGTATTTAGGACGAACACAGGAAACACTTCACAAACGATGAGGAAAACATCCAGACCTGTACACAGAATTCAAGTGGGGAGACTCGCTTTATATTTATTACAACATGTTTCCTCAATGTTCACACCTTGAAATGACACTTCTGTGAACCGTGACGGCTGCATTTGTCGCGGCAAACCTCCACACAAACGTAGGAATTGCTCACAACGGGAATTGGGTGAAGCTTGCCTCAGAAAATACGACAAAAAACTCACATAAAAGTCCCCTCGAGGAAACTGGACGGGTGAGTTTCATAACAACGTATTGTTTGTTTGAAATGCTTGAAGCTACATTCCAGTGCTTATTTTTTGGTCATGGTAATATTTTTGACATATTTATTGCAGCTGGGTTTGTTTTTTTTTTTTAGTTTCTTGCATTCTTGTGTCACATATCAGGCAGCTGAGCACTGCAGCAGAACACTTCTGCCATTATACAGAAATTTAATTTCATTTTTGACACAGTAATGTTTTAAATTATGGTACTGCCTTTTTTTTTTATTATGTGGATCCCAACTTTTCAAATAATGAGTTGGAATCCATCTTTTTTTAATGCTCTAATGAAGAATTGTAGACTATCAGTGGTATCAGTACCAACTACCAGACTTCTGGCGTCTCCAATAGCATCAATCATAACAATTTAAACACTTACTGAATTCTATTGTTGTCTTTTGAGCCAACAAATGCTGCAGCAACGGTCTTTGTGTCTTTCTAAACAGCAGTATTGTCCTGAAACTGTGCTAGGAGTCAATAATGTGGAAGAAAATCCCATAAAGCGGGTCACAAATGAGCTTTTTTTCCCCCTTTTTCTCAGCCGTTCCACTTATTTCAGCGCACGTCTGTTTGCGGAAATGAGAGCTGAGCGATGGGATGGCGTCGCCGCTCATCTCTGTGAAGACAGTTCAACATCTGATATCAGATTTCTAAGCCGCTGATTGACTCAATTACAGAATCATTAACAACAGTGTCAGCTCGGCTAATGCCTTCATTTCCATTTGCTCCATCTCCTTCAATAAAAATCTTGGTGTGTAACTCAACCCTCTCCGTGCGTAGCTCTCTTTCACAACTCTTCTCTTTTCGGATTTCACTCTCAGACTAATTCCATTAGGCTCCTTCTTCTTCTTCTACTTCTGTTACTCTTATTACATCTAAATTTCCTCCATCAATCAATTCACCCATCTCTTCCTTCTTCTTTTCTCCTGACACCCACTCTGCCCTTAGATTTCCGTGCCCTCCTCCTCCAATAAAAGCATTTCTTTTTTCTCTCTCGTTTTGTCTTCTTATCTTCTGAGACTTCAATTAATCGCCCCTCAGCGCTTCTCTTTAGGGCTATTCAGTGCGTCCCTGTCCCTTACGATTTGCCATCTGCTGCATGCGTGCCCCACTTTTGGTTTTTCTCACGTCTCCTCCAGCTCTGCTTTTCCTCATACTTTTATCTTTATCTATATTTGCCTGCTTCCCTGCCTGCGTGTTTCAGTCCCTGCTTCATATACTGATAGTGCAGTTAGAACAGCAAAGATTCTCATGAATTCACGGGATGCAAATTAATGCATTTAATGTGCATTCAGTAAATAATTGTTTTTTGCTGATGCTGATTTTATTGTTTGTAGTTCAGTCCACTATTGCCTTGCAGGATTTCATATTGCCAACTAAGCGTGAGGAAAAATGCACGCATGTAATCCAGTGAACTGTTATCTCCCTGATAACAGCTACAGTGGCCTAATCCCAACCTCCAGCCTGAAGCCTAAACACTAAACCCTCAGAGACTTAACTGACGTCACGGCTGTAGTGTTTGAGTTCGTGAGGGCTTGAAATGGTGCAAAAAGGAGGAAAAGGACTCGCTATCATGACAGCGCATGTTGCTTAGAAACCACACATCGCTATTAAAGAAAAAAAAGTGAATTTCTATTCATGTTTTATAAGCAGGTTGATCAGCCGCTCAACTGATCCCTACGTGTTTTTGATATGACAGAGTTCAGACATTTCAGCAAATTACCAAAAGTCAGAAAAGAAATGAACAGCTGTAAATCCTAAATTTGACTAAAAATACAAAGATGTGCAACGGCCAGACGCTGTCACTTACAGAATATCTGGAGTGCTTTGTTTGTTTTCCTGTTTAACAGCATTCTCACATATCGCTGCAGTTCTATAGATATTAACACAATGACCTCATGCTATTACACAGGTTTTATGGACCTGTGTGGTTCTGTTTGGCAGCGATTGCTCAAATTTAAGATGAAAAAGTCGGGTTTTCTCTGTTGATCTCTTGTATTTTTGTTCTGAATGTCTTTAAAAAGACTTTCCACTTTTGCATTTTCTGGTTGCAGTTCATATTTGAATTCCAAAGATGCTTAAGTACGTGTTCAAATCTTTCTGTGGATTTCTTAGCTGCAACATTAATGCTTGGTTACTGCATAGACCGTATATATAAAAGTAGATACGATTATTCAAATAACTACATAAAAGTGAAGCCAACATAGAACCTGCATTCTTTCCAACAGCCAGCAGGGGGAGCCTCCTCTGTTAGCAAAAATAAGTCAGATTACAACAGTTCTGATTCCTTTTCCTTCAGTAATAGCAATATTATTGATTATAGATCGTGCCTTTCATTATGAGAGCTTTAATTCATGCAACAGTAGCGTTGTGTTGCACTGTTCTGCTGTTTTGTTGAATTTCAGGGGCTAAATCTAAAGCCAATACAGAACAGCATAAAACCTGCATTAATTCTAACAGCCAGCAGGGGGCGATGCCTCCGGTTGCAAAAAGTAGTCTGATTGTATAGAAGTTTATGAGAAAATGAGCTGACTTCTGACTTGATTTGTTACCTGAGTAAACATTTTCCTAATGAGTTCATAGTCTCAGTTGCTTGTAAAAGGTCTCCTTTAATACAGCATGATGCTCATTTTGTGAATTAAGGTCCTATTTAGAGTAAAACAGACGATAAAGCAGGGTGTGTTTCAGGACTGGGCTACCTCATGAATCACAGGTCGCTACTGTATTGTGGACGTCCATATTCCAAACTTCAAAACAAGTCCACAAACCGGTGGCTAATGCTGTGGTTGCTATGTCTGTCTTTTATGTACAGTCTGAGCTTGTGTACATTTTATAAGAGGCGGGTCAACCACATGTATACATCACCAGTTTCACTATCAAGCCCTCAGGAAAGTCTGACGGTCTGTGGACTCACAGAAAGGGAATTAACAGTCACCATCAGCGTGCTCGTGCACCAAATAATTTGACAGTGGAACAGCCTTAAACCCTCACAAATGAATGCCTCAGAGTCCATGAGTCTGTGAGTGTGGTGATGGTTACGGGCTGATGTTTGTCTTCACACCTGTCAGAGCTGTGCTCAGTCACAGGAAACACAATGTGTTTGCTCAACATCAAACAGACATCTGCAAACAAGTCAGTGTTCACATTTGTTTTTTCTTTTTGCCAGCAAATCATTCTAAATTTTAGCGAAAAAGTAGCAGAAAAACAAGGAGCAGTTCCAGTTAACTGTTCTAACAAATGTCTGCAGCTCCTCAGCAAAATGAGCAAGTCCCCATTGTTGCCACTGCATTTCCAATTAGCGTTGAGTAACTTCTGTATTGAAATGAGCTTGTTTGACTTCACTGTAAACAAATACAGTCCTCTGTTGCATTTCCAACAAATCAGCTGCCGAGAAGTGTTTGTTGCTGTATTAAGGTGCAGTTGCTCTCACCACCACTAACCACAAGTGTCACCAAATCAGCTGAAATCTCACTGAAGGATTCTAAAGTAAAAGCATCACAGAACGATCCATCTACAACAGGAGGACCGTACTGAAGGCTAACGCATCGAAGCAGCTGACTGTTTCTCACGGACTGCTGAAGCTTATAGGGAATCCAGATGTTTTGGATTGTTGGGTGTTTCTGTCTTTGTGAAGCGCTATGAGATGACTTGTTGTAAATATGCGCTATACAAATAAAATTGAATTGAATTGAATTGACATAATTCGCTGTACAACTTTGTGCATTGGTGCAAAAGTGCTTGAATATTCAGATGCTCATATCACACTGATGGTTTACTCACATCAGACCTAAAACTGTGCATAAGCAGCAAAATTACATTTATCAAACAAACCCTAAAACCTTGCAGCAGGCTTGAAAGGTTGTCTTTAAAAAAAACGTGACATTTTGTCAGAAACACAAACTGTAATAACAGAAAAACAGATGAGGATTTTTAATGATCTGACAGGCCTCGAAGAAATCAGACGTGAAGTGCCGCTCCGCCGAGAAAATTAAGCAAATCCTAAAATCGTGATAATTCATTAAAATCATTTATTTATTCTGAAAATTTGCAGAAAACAAAAAATGCTGTGCTCCTCGGCGTGACCGCCACGCTGTGATTGACTCGGCTGATGAGATCAAAATTCAAAGACTTTTTAGCTGAACTGCAGAATGTGTTAACACAGAAGAGGCAGTAAGAGAAGAATTAAAAACGTAAATAGTTAAAAATCTACAGCACAGAGAGCCACCATCATTTTTACAGTTTGGGTATCGTCTGTCTGTAAAATGTGGTATATGTTGAGTCCAGTTTTTTTCTTCCATTTTTCAAAACAAATGATAAAAAAAAAAAAAAAAAAATCAAGTTTCCCATTTTCTTTTTTGTGATTTCTGGTATTTTAACTCGATGTGCAGGATTTTATATTACAATAAAAAGTAGGTGATAATGTGACAGGAGCACAACGGGGCTCAAAGGGTTAAATGCAGCCGAATCTTAAATCCTGAGTTTGAGCATTAAACCTTTCTTTTTCTTTTTAAACGGTGACACCAAGTAGCTGAACCACAGTATGTTGTTGACTCAACCCAATCAAAGCGTATTCGATGCCAGGGATGGATCATGTGCACAGAATGTGGCTTACATCAACTGTCAGCGGGGCATATTGACCCGAATCCTCCCCTCTGTGTCTATAGACCAAGACATTAAAGTGAATCTTTACAGGCCTCCCAACCCCCCGGCCCTGCACCGCCGCCACCCCGCCGCCCTCGTGTTACCTTGAAGGAGATTTCACTTGTCATGGTGAAGCCATGAGTGATGACGGGCTCTTCTTCGGTGGTGCGACCCTTCCAGCAGTCCAGTTCGATGCAGCGGCACCCGGACAGGAGGACCTGCTTGTACATCTCCACCGAAGAGTTGCCTGCGAGCTGACCGGCTGCAAAAAAAAACCAAAAAAACCACTGCTTCAGGTAACTGCAGCATTAATCCTAAAAGAAAGCACCACAGCGGCACGTCCTCCCACTTTACAGGAGCTCATTAACTGCATTAGTCGCTGAAGTAAAAACAATACAATTGTCGTTATCTGAAAAAAAGCCAAATCCCATCACCCTGTCACCATTAGCGAAGCAATTATGTCTTCACATTAGCGCTTTCGAGCCACAAGAGTGGAACCGTGTCAAAGTGAGAGGCAGATCTGTGTTCTCACTTCAGGTGGCATCATTAATTTCCTCCCTTTTTAAAAAAATAAATAAATAAAAAAATCCTCTCTGCTCTTACTCCTCCTTTCTGTGCTTTTGACTGACACCCTCACTGAATCCATTTACACTTCCTTCTCCAAATCAGTTGACGTGTTGTACACTGAAGGAAACATTGCTTTAATTTGCACCGGATCAATAGGATGAAATGTGTCAACATGAATGAGCAAGTTGCACACGCTGCAGTCGGCCCAGTCGCTTTATACGGATCAGTCCTATTAAGCTGTAAAAGGGACAGCGAAGCCTTTTACACTGGCGCCGTAATATTTGTCATTGTGAAAACAGGTGAAGAAAAAAACGCTGTTCGTGAGGAGAAAATCAAGCACCTCTTGTTTGTTTTCCTCATTTCTTCATTTCGCAGGCTATGAGGCTGGGGCTATTACAGAAATTCCATTTTTTCCATCGCTGGAGAAATCTGATCCACTTGAAAGATTGAATGCTCTCTGGCTCCCCCCCCAGAATAGATTTGAATAGATGAATTCTAATATCCACTGAAGAGAAAATGGCCTCTGTATTGTGCCTGCCATGCCGGGAACCAGTTACTGTGACTACCAGTCCAAAGAAATATTTAAATCATGAATATCAATGAATTGAGTCTCATGGCACGACTTGATTGGATAACCTCTAGAGAGGCGACGCAGGAAAAGGAGGCTGATATGCACCGGCGCATTTGATTGACTGACCTGTGTGAGCTACGAAGCCGAGCGTATTCACTTGTGCGACCATAATTGTGCCTTTAAATGAACGACTGATCTGTTCATTTGTAAAAGGATAAAGGATGCGTCTGTGCAATCAGCGGGGAGTTAAATCCACTTGAGTGCAGGAGCGTGCGAGGCACACGCACACAGCTACTAACTGTACATACAAAGCAGGGTTTTATTCTTTTTTTGTGCGTACCTGTGAGGTACGTGTTGTGTGAGGAGTTGATGAAGTAGTGGGAGAGGGGAAGGGTCATGTCTTCACTCTGGTCCAGCTTCTCAGGAGGGATGATGCTGTTTTCGTCCCCGTTCAGGTACCTGGCAAAGCCCTCCACCGAGATCTGACCTGCACGGACACAAACGGTCACAGCAATAAGTTTGAAAGCCTTTAATTTAATCGAGACACAACCTGAAACTACAAATCAAAGCTGTAATAAAATAAAATGAAATAAAATAAAACGGAATGGAATTAAAATAAATTTTTCCTTTTAACGTCACACATTTTTTTTGGCATATTGTTTTTGGGAAATACACAAATATGTTCAATAAAATTACAGAAACACACTCAATTCACATGTCTAATGTAAAATTACAAAAAACTGTCACTGTGACAAACCGTAAATTGTCTGTTTTTAAATTGTTCAACTTTAAAATTTTAACAATTTTAGCATAAAAAGACATTTGCAAACTTGATTTAATTTTACATTTTTTTAAAAACATTTTTTGTATTTAATAGATTATTTTGTTAAATTTAAGTTTAATACTGTGAATAAATGTAACTATTTAACAATTAGTGACAATTAAGCAAATAAGTGTTGACACATATATTTTTTATATATATATATTTATTTTTTTTATTATTCATTAAATATTAAAAAACTAAAGAAATACCTGTGATCTCATGCAAGCTTTTTATGTGATTTTTTCGTTGTTGTTTTGTTGATATTTTACCATTTTTTGTTGGGGTTTTTTGACCCAGCTGCCAGAATATTACCTTTTTATTTTTGCTTTTTTTTTAGTACAGTTGTTTTGTTTTTTGCTTTTTTTTGTACAGTGCATGATAAACATTGACTCCATTGCCTAAGAGGTCAATATAGTGCACATTTACAGGTGTCTAATTGTATTTTTGGAATAAACTGGAATATGTTTATCTGCTCTAATTTTCACAAACATACTATTTTTCCTCATACTGTACATTCTACAGCTCAGATGTAGCTCCTCCCTCTTTCTCCTGAGATTTATTTAAATCAAATTAAATGTATTAAAACTAACACGAAATGACGAGTGAGTAACCATACGAATCTTAACCAGCAGTATAAACAACGCGAGCACTGAATGACGTGTGTCATGTGTGCTATGGAGGTGTTGAATGTGCAAACACAAAACAAGTCGAGTCAGGTGAGACAGTGAACACATATGTTGGCTTTTTACAGCCTGGGGGCCTCAGGTGAGCTGCATTAGCTCACAACCCTCCCATGTCAGCCATTAGCCCACTCAGCCAGACTAAAGCCTTCCTCCCACTGGACTGTGCTACCTGGGGACCACATGCGATTTATAAATTACCTCCCCCACATCTGTGCACACTCACACTGGGTAAAACAAGTGTGTGTTTAACCTGAATTAACTGACATTATCTGTGATATTAATAGGCTGCCACATAATAACTGTTGAGTGTGTTTTGCTCTTCTGATGGGGTTCAGCTTTCTGTGGACAGTTCTCCAGGCTGCATAGTGACAGGAGCCTCCTGGATTTGCAAGAACACTCCAAACTTTCATTTATAATTGCCAATGCAGCCTCAATAATTCTCAAGCAGGAAAGAGTTGCAAAAACGTGCAATTTCACACAAACTCTGCGAAATACGGTGGGTAATTTGCAGTGGAAATTTGACTTTACACATTGCACACGTGGCAAATTTGCAAAGAACTAAGATCAGAGAGGAACACCACAATTATCACAAATTACTAAAGGTCACCAGGTCATAGCGGTGCAGTGGAAGTAGGGCTTATGAACAGCTTCAAGACACAAAAAGAGAAAAACAACAACAACAAAATCGAAGAAAGAAACCCACAAAGCAGAATATAGTCTTTTTAAGAATCCACGGAGCTCTACTGGCTTCCACTAAAAAACACATCAATAATCCACACAACTGCTCAGGTCGATGGGCTCCTTCACTATGATGCAGTTTGTTGCGACTCAGTTGCCGTAAACACTCGCCAGTGCACCAAAAGAGAATTAATCCACGGCTGGAAATAGTCCCCGACATACTCAAGATCAGCGCAGCAGACAGGATAAGGAAGTGATAAAGTACGGCCAGATGGACGAACATATTGTTGGGTTTGATCTTTTCGTAGGATTTGTTGACAACTTCAAACATACTGAGCGTGATGCGTGACATATGGCGGCGTATGCGCAAACGATTCCGAGGCTATTTTCTCTTTGCGGCGTCCAACATGATACACAAAAAGTTTGAGTGTTTGTGCTGAGTGCACACTCCGCAGGTGTATTCAGAAAAAGAGTGGTTGAATTACAAAAATGTGTATAATGACTGATTAATGCCACTTTCAGACTGCATTAGCGGTTGTATTTAGCAGGAATTCATTGTTTGGTAAAAGCTTTCGTGGCTAATCCTCAAAGCCTGTGCCTTAGTGTTTTAATTTCTCCCATTTTACTGTAGGTGTGAGCCTTGATTATTAAAAATTCATGCCTAAAAAGCCTCCTTTGTTCGCCAGGTAGATTAAAATATGAGTGCTTCTCCACATTCCAGTGCTCCAGCAGATTCAAGGAGCACCGCTTCTGTCTATAACAAGGCAATAGCGGGATCTGATGGAGCCGAGCCGCCCTTGAAGTTTCCTTGTTTTGATTGTTTGTCAGGGTCACTCATGTTAAGCTTTGCCTTTTCGCTGTCATCGCTGAGCTCATGTCCTCAGCGAACGTGCCCGGGAACGCGAATAACGCTGAATAAATAAGTAATAAGCAGCCGCACACCTCCAACCATGGAGACACAACATTATTATTGTTATTATTATTTCCACACACATCACACCTGCGTAGATTAAATTCTGAAAACATAAAGCGAGTGCTCTAAACCAAAACGCCTCCTCCTTCCCGCCTACGCACACACTCGCTTGGCGTCGCACTAAATATGCTAAGTGATGCAAGCTTGACGGGTGCAGCAGGTCCCTCCGGCCACTTTATGCTAATTAATGCGGTGCCGCCCTCTGCAGAGTTGCTGGACTAATTAACGCTGGCTGCTGTCTGTGACATCTGAGCTCAGTCACACTCAGCGTCTTACTCCCTGCTGACTGCCAGGACCTTCCTCTGCCAGGCTGAAGACTCACCTCTGTGAGACTCAAACGGAGACAAAGAGCTTCCCCGGCTCTCACGACATTTGTAGGTCAAACAGAGAGAAATGGTGTTAACATAGCTGGGATTACAGGAGTACCTGAGTGACACCCTACAGGTGTTATTGTAAAGGGGAAAGAGAAAGGCTGCATTCAAGTCAAACTAGAAACTGGTGCGCTGCAAGGAGACTGCAGTGGAAACGTAGTCTCGTTGAAAAGGTCCCACATTGTGCCCGTTTTCAGTAAGCTAATTAAAGTCTCACATGTTACCAGAATGGATCTTTTTTTCAATTTCTCAGCTCAAATACCACAAAGAGGGTTAATTTTACCATGACTGTGAAATTTCATGTTTAATCGTTTAATTTGATAATCATATGTAAAATATTAAATTGAATTAAAAGAAATATTATTATATATTTGAATTATTAGATATTATTCCTATTTTTAACAGTAATATTTCTTATTATTTTATATTGTAGACATTATTATCCATCCTTATATCCATCCATCCTTATATCCATCCATCATCCATCCACCCACCCATCCATCCATCCATCCATCCATCCATCCATCAATCCATCCATCCATCCACCCGCCCATCCACCCACCCGTCCATCCACCCATCCATCCACCCATCCACCCACCCATCCATCCATCCATCCATCCATCCATCCATCCATCCACTATACATCTCTTATTCCTCTGTAGGGTCGCAGGGGACTGGAGCCTATCCCCACCAACTCATGGCGAAGGCAGGGGACACCTTGGACAGGTTATA